GTGTCCCTGCCTCTGCCAAATGTCCTTTGCAAGAGCGTGAACCAAACACCACGTCCCGGGGGTGCATTTCGGGCGCTGAGCACCCCCAGCAAGCACCAGCCCCAGCCCGTGCCCAGGGGACGGGGACGCTGGGGGCCACGCTCCTGGCCTGGGCTCTGCTCCCCAGGGCTGCGGGCAGGGCGGGGGTGCGCTTCCCACGGGCAGGATGGGCTTGTTTACTGGGGGCAACTTTTATCTGCACAAACAGCCCTTGGGCGGGCAAAGTGGATATGGGCTTGTCCTTATCTCCACCGGCAATCAGAGGGGAATGTAAACACGGATGGAGTGGAAATGCGACGGCACAGGGACATCCTCACCGGGGGGTTGCCACGATGGGCAGCAGCACCCAGGGACCCACCATCACCTCGTCCTGGGTGGGGCTGGAGCTGGGTTTCCCAGTCACGGGAGAGCCGGGGTGCGGCGTCGGGCTGGAGATGAGCCCTCTGGTGCGGGATCCACGCAGATGGGGAGATGGTGGATGGGGCAAGGTGAAAGCCCCCACTGCCCACCATGCAGAAGTTTATCCTCCCCTTGGTTTATTTTCTTCCTGTCTGCAGCAAACCCTCCTGTAATCAGCAGCCCAGTTAGTATTGGTGGAAGTGCCGCCGGTGATAGCTGGGGATGGGCAGGAACTGCCCCAGGAGCTGCCCCTCACTGCCCATCCCTGGGGGCTGCTCTCACACCAGGGGCTGCAGGGCAGCGGAGAAGGGGGCTGTTCCCCACGGCTTCGGTATTTCATGATTTACAACACATGTTTTCCAAGAGCCACAAGACAGATTTCCTTCCCTGGGAACCTGCTAGGGGAGCAAGTGTTTTACAAAAAGCCCGCCTTGCTCAGCTAAAAGCGATTTAAACCAGGTCAGTAGCAAAGACACTGCAATTGCCAGTGAGCAGGCGAGAAGATGGACGCCGGTGAGAAGCACTTCTGCTGCCAATTTAGAAGGCAATAAGGCGATAACCTGGTATCGTGTGAGGATGATGAAGGGCTTTCCAGCCCCGTTAGCTGCCCAGGGAAACGGCAGATAAAGCGCCCTAGAGATGAGCGGGACTGTAACCAGGGGGTGCTGGCAGCGTGGGCGGGTGAACGCCGGGGCCTGATGCCCCTTCCCTGCCCGCCAGCAGGGCAGCAGAGCTGGCAGCCGGGGGTGTCTCGCCACCTCCCCATCCAGGAGCATCCCTGGTCCCCTGTGTGCTGCTGGGAGCACCCAGCTCTGGCAGGCACGGGGATGGCAGTGCCGTGGCGGGGCTGGGGTCCCCACATCCCCCTTCATCTCTTTTCTTGGTGGCTGCCGGTGCCGTTCCTGTGCACAGAGAAATGCTGCCCCAGAGACAGGCGGCCCGGGGGTCCTGCCCCCACCAGAGACATCACTGATTTATTGCCCAGGGCTGGTTGTTCCTTGGCCCTGGGTCCAGGTGGTTTCCCCTTTCTTTCTTCTTACTTTTTTTTTTTTTTTTAAATCTCCAGCCTGTGCGGGAAATGGGAGACAGAGACGGATGAGGAGGAAAGGCTATTGTTAGGGCTCTGGGCTGTGCATCCCGAGCGGCTCGCTCGGTGCCAGCTGGTTTCTGGGCAGGTCTCTCCAGTGGGGGAGATCGTATCAGCAGAGTCCGGGAAGGATGTCGCTGCCAGCCCGGGAGAGCAGTGTGTTCTCCATGGTGGGCTGGAGCTCTGCAGAGCTCAGCAAAGGCAGCGAGAGCTGAGCATCCTTGTCCTCGGTCTGGGACGGGGACTGGCCGCCTTAGAATCACAGAATCGTTTACATTGGAAAATGCCTCTAAGATCATCAAGCCCAACCATTAACCCAACACTGTCATCCCACCACTAAACCCTGTTCCTGAGCACCACATCTGCCCTGCTTTTAAATCCCTCCAGGGATGGGGACCAAACCACTTCCCTGGGCAGCCCCTTCCAGTGCTTGACAGCCCCTTCGGGGTAGAAATTATTCCGAATATCCAATATAAACCTCTCCTGGCACAACTTGAGGCCATGTCCTCTGGGCCTGCCTTGCATTGCCTGGCTCTGCTGCAGCCTTTTGGGGTGTCCTGGGCACCCCAAGAGCCATGTTGGAGCCCCCCCGATGGGTATGTGCCCGCAGGTCTCACAGCGTGGAGAAGCCGACTGCAGGGCAGAAAGGGTCCGGTCCCCTGAAGGGGCACCTCCAGAAGGGGCATTTCCTGGGATTTTGAACACCCTGGAGGGTTTCCCCTCACACTTACTGTTGCAGCCAGTCCTTGCCCACACCCTGACCCAGGGTCCCCCCGGCGCCAAGGGCAGACACCCTGATGAAGCGGGGTCTCGTGGCCCCCTGCTCCGCCCCAGCCAGGATGTGCCCTGAAACCCTGACCTCCCCCCGGCTCCTTGACCCTGTAATGGTCCATTCTCTGGGAGGAGGAGGAGGAAATGGCAGTGGACCTTGTTATGCCTCGCTGGGTTGGGGGTCACTGCTGATGTCATTCGGCACGGCCGGATATGTTATTTTCCTGCCCCAGCGCTTGGTAATCGATTCAGCAGCCGGCACAGGGCGAGGGCTGCCTGCCTGGCACCAAAACCTGCCTGGGGTCCTGGGGGCTCTTGGGGGGCACCGCAGCCTGCCTGGGGTCCCAGCAGTCCTTGGGGAGCAGACCCCTCAAAGTGCCCCTCTCCATCCCCCAGCCTGGCAGGAGACCCCACCCTGATCACACAGATGCTGCCTTGGAGAAAGGGCTCAGAGCCCCCCGGGAACCCCCAGCACCCCAGGGCTGGACCATGGCTCCGCGGGAATGAGGTTTCGTCTCCCAGGGATGGGACAGCGGTTGGGGGGCTGCGGGAGCTGGTTCAGCCCTGGCCGGCTGGGGTTGCCCGAGCCAAGAGTGGCTCGAAGCGGGCAGGGAATGCCGGTTTGATCGTGTCCAGCTGCAGGCCCTGGGCCAAGGTCCAACGTGGAGTGCGGCAGCCGAGCTCCATCTGTTGGAGCTGGGGTGATGGCAGGGTTTGGGCAGGGCAGGGGCCACCTGCATCCCACCACTGCCTGGGCCAGGAGAGCAGCCCAAGCTCCTTGCCAGGGACCATCAGCCCCGGCCACCACCACGGCTTTCCAGCGCAGGCAAAGCGCGGCCGAAGCGGTGCTCGCCTCCACGCTGGCTCCCTGTTTCCCTGCCATCAGCAGATGTCAGCATCGGACCAGTGTCCCTGTGCGGGTCAGCAGAGCCCTGCGGTCACTGCTGGGGGAGCAAGGAAGAGCTGAAGGGCTTTTCCCAGCAGGTACCAGCTGGACAGGACAGCTTCCAGCTTGCGACAGAGGAACAAGGAGCAGAAGCAGGGTCAGGCCCTTGCCGTATAAACAGCACGGGGTCGGCATCAGCTGCCTTGTGTGCAAAGCACCGGGCTGGGATAGCGGGGGCACCGGTGAGGGTCTGCCCCCTTCCCAGCCATGCCACCCTTCTGACACCCTCAGGGAGCCCCTCGCCCTCCGTCCGTCTGGCAGGGCTGAGCTGCCGGCACTCATCACACTTGTGAGCGGGGTGGTCCTGCTCGGGGGAGCGGGCTCTGCCCCACCAAAGGGTGGTCGTAGAAGCTTTGTGCCAGGGCATCACCCCCGGGCACCCCAGCTCTCCCCCTGCCCAGCCTGGGGCTCCCCCCCGGCGAGCCTGACCCACCCTGCTGCCCTCCCTCTGCGCTTCGGCTTCTCTTTAAATGTTTCATTTAATAAAGTTTTAAGGAAAAACCTCTTTCTTTTTCAGTGCCCCGAGGCCCGACCGGAGCGGTCCCGCTCGGGGTGCGTCCCCCCCCGCGGGGACACGGCGTGGGGGGCCGGACACGTGCGCAGGC